GCAAGTTTTTCTAACCTACCAGCCACAGATTCAACAGTAGTGACCACGAATTAGTGTCATTCCTTTGAGGCGTAGTGTTGTGCCAGCTCCTTCCTAGGAAAGGAAAAAGCAATGGGAACCTGGTGAAATAAAATGAGCTTTTGGATACGCTGTGACCACGGCTAAAAGGGCTGTATTATTTTCAGTCAGGTAAGTAGGAAGGATTTTTCACTCCTGGATTTTTGTCGAGCATGAAGAAAGTACTCTGATGGTTTTGGAGGTTTTTCTTCTTTAATCAGCGCACCTGTGTTTAGAGCAATATGGCTAGAAACACTTTTCAAAGTCTGCCTCAGTATCGCTCTTGTCCTCTTTCTGGTTCGAGGGACTTTCAACAGCTTGGCAGAACTGCGGAGCGCAGTGCTGCTGCCCGTGTCTGAGGCACACGGGAACAGATGGGGCAGGGCTCCGTGTACGGGGCTTTGTTAGGAGCCAAACGCTGGCCTTGGCGTCTGCAGCTGAGGACTGAAGTTGCAGTCTCAAAGCTCTGCTTCGTGTGCTGGCACTGCGCGTCAGAAGTTCTGATAAAATCAAGTGACGGTATTACCAAGAGCCCAATACCCTCCAGATGTTTTGCTGTAAACTTCGTGTAGTTCAGTATAGAGCATTGTGTGGGACGGCCAGAAGCCCGAGGGCTGTGTGTGAGAGACCTGCTGTGCTCTGTTCGAGAGACCCACCGTCCCCTCCCCATCTGACTGTTGTAGCACAGGAGCTAACAGGGTTCCTCAAATAAGAGGCAAAGAGACTTTCCTGGCCTTTCCAGTCAGCAGAGGAGAACCTCGGTGCAGTCAGGAGAATAATGCTGTCTGGGAGAAGATAAAATCAGGCCACTGAGCTAGACAATGTCAATTAGAAAAGGTCCTGAGGCAAGTCCTTCCTGTAAGGATATGAAGATTGTGTCCCTGATGCCTGGACGCTCACTGATGCGACGCAGTTAGACTTCCTGATCATTTCCTCCATGGGTAACTTGGGATAGTACGCCAGGTAGAAGGCCAGTGCTCCCACAAAACTGTCTCCAGCTCCCTAGAATAAAATAACAAACAAGTTTCAGCGTACTCGCACAGGGAAACAATTCAGATGCATTTACTGGAAAGACAAAAGTTGCAGCAGTGATTGCAGGAGTCAGGAAATTGTTCAGGGGTTGATTCAATTCACTTTTCTATGCCTGGGAAATTCTGCCATGTTAAACTAATGCCACGATACTATCTCTGTGCCCAGCTGTTGAATCAAGGTATGCACTGTAATATGGCTTAAAACTTAAAGAAAAGCAAGTGTGCTACAGTTCAGCAACATGCTGTTATAAACACTGCTTTTGAAACTTCCTGTTGTTGGAGTGTCCGATTTTGATTTCTCAACCTGAACATTTCATTAAAGCTATTTTTCTCTCCTTTAACTTCTGTTTTTCATAAAGGGCAGTGGTAGAAGGGGCAGAGAAAAGGGAAAAAAATAAGCCACGTGGGTTGTGGTGCCTGTAAATTCCTAGTTGCAGAACGATACACTTTGATGCCTCCAGAACTTAGCTGTTGTTCATGAAAAAGGTCCCGCTAACGAAGGTCTACGCTGCGTGTATCACATAAACCACTCCTATCCCTGGGGCAAGCCTTGCCACCTGTGCTGAGCTTGACCGTGGGGGTGGAGGACGGTGACATTCACCTGCAGCTCTGGCAGCCGTGGCCCTCTTGAGCTACCCGTCCCCAGGCCGTGTCTCCCACGAGAGCTGCTGGATGCTCTGCCCACCCCACGTGAGCCCTCGGCAAACGGGGAGCCCCACGTGGGTGCTGGCCGTGCCCCGGCTTGCTCTGACCCTCTGGCCCAGGCACCGATCGGCAGGGAACAACAGCTGTTTGCCTCCCAAGTGCTTTTTAACAATAACTGTTGTTTTGCGATGTTCCGTGCTCCGTTGTGTCCCCAACAGCTGGCAAAATGAAGCATTTTTAACTTGATTTGCTCATTTCATTCCACAGTGTCCCTGTCCCCTCCTCCTCTAAAACTGGCTTGATTTCTCAGGTCAGATCGATAGCAATTCTTGTTGGTACCATAAAACTGGCTCTAAGGTCCTCTTTTTTTAATCATACTTTTATACCAGTAAAAGCGTTACACTGGACATGCTGGTAATACCTTGTTTTATTCAAGACCCAGCATAAGGACTATCTCCCCTGAGGGGTTTTGCCTTTGTAGTTGTAAGAAATAGGCCCCAAGAGTCATGGGACAAGAGCAAAGGGCCTGGAAAAACTTAAGTTATGATAGCTGAGCAAAGTTTCCAACTGGAAGTTAAGGCTAGGAAGTAATTTCCCAATTTTGAGTTCTAGTGCTTCTCAGTGTTAAACTCCTACTTACCCTAAAATCAGCTGCATATAGTATCATCCTGGCAAAAAAATACCACTTCCACAGAAATCTGTTTGTAACGTTACGCCCAGCTGACGGGGCAGAGCAGCGTGGCAATTGGAAGGGAACCCTAAAGGAGGGGGTGAGCGCAGGGTAGGGGCGCCCACGCCGTGCCCTTGTCTTTCCTCGCCCAGCCCTTCCACAGCAGCTGCTTGCATCGGTGTTCCTGGTCAGGAAACTCCCTGCTCAACTCTTGCTTAGCCTGAAGCGCGAACGCCGTCTTCCAACGCCTTCGCAGTGGGGTGCGATGGCGAGTGTCGCCTGGCAAATAGTTAATACGCAAAGTTGTACCCCGGCATGCAGCTGTAGCAGCACCTGTTTCAACAGTTCTGTATTCCTGAAGGTACGAAGGGCAGGTGAAGGTTTTTTATCAATTTCTGTTGGGCCTTTGTCTCTCTTCTGGTTTCCAGAGTGCTCCCACAATGGCAGGTGGAGCAGGAGGAGGTGACTGCTAGTTAAGCATTGCCAGTGCCTTTTGTCTGATGCATAATACAAAAATCTCCAGCCCATCTCGGAGTTTATAATCTAATCAGTGCATGGTTAATTATTAAAGCCATTTTGGCACTGGTGTTACAGACAGAAGTAGAATTTCAGCAAGCAGATCTGTTATGCTGCAGCTCTAGCAGGAAGAACTCATCATTTTTACATCAAATATTTCTCATACAGTGATCACTGGGTAATGGAGGTGGCCAAATATTATTTTGATGAGGAATACTCAGAATATCTGGTGTCAAATAGCATGAACTATGACTCGGCAGCAGCAGCATGGAACAGAATACTGTCTTTTTGATTGTTTTTTTTTTTTTTCATTGGAGGTAACTAAATACTGCCCCAAATAATTGCTGCACTGTTCGCAATTGGAGGCAAAAAAGACCAACCATGTATCACCCAGGTCTTAGTTTGGATGAGTAGTTGGCGAGATGGAACGCAAGTCCTCTCTGCAGCGTTACTGTGCCTCTCCACTCGTGGGTGATGCTCTGAGGTTGCGAGACAGCTGTAGATCTCCCTTTTGGCAAGACTGAACAATATTAAATGGCCTCAAAGGTGGAAAAGGGGATGAACAGCAGACTTCCATGCAGAATGGAAAAAGGCCCCTAGTATTTTTTTGCAAGAGAAAAGATTATGGGATGATTGCAGAATATACAGAAGGATTTGATGCCAGTAAACTTCTGCTGAAATCCTTACTTCCCACACGTAGGCTGAAGCAGTCAGTATCTCTAAAGCTCTGCCACTACAGATCCCAAGGGTATCATAAATTCAGTTGTTGGTAAGTAAATGTTTTTGTGCGGGGGATGTTTTCAATATAGGAGCTACTACACCGAAAACGGTGGCATGGATCAGACCAATTATGTAGATACCCTGTTCCAGCTTCCTTCTGGTCTGTGCAGACATGACTGGTCAAACATGACTTAAAGAGCAATAGCAGAACTGATTCAGCTGCAAGGTTAACTGCAATAAGGACTAATTTTGGCTTACAGAAACAGACCTTCCCTCTTCGGTATTGTGGATTAAACTACACGGGGTTTGGTAAATTCAGAAAAGGTCAGCACAGAGCAGAAGAAGGAACAGGCTCAGAGTAAAATCAAGATTATCCAAACTCTGGATTAGCAAATACTGTCTTTAAATGTAGCTGTTTCAAAACCTCATATAAGAAAAAGAAATATAACTTACTTTGCAAAAATAATGAATTTTGAAAATGACCAGTATTCTGCCCATGGACTAAATATAAACACAGAATATGTAATATTTTACATTCTTCAGTATTTGTCTTCCAGGAATCCTAATACATTGCAGCCTTTGAGATAATCCTCATATCCTTGAGTGCCTGGAGACAATTCATTCCGTAATTATAAAACCAGAACTTGTTTAACCTTTCTCTAAAGCAGAAGATGCTAGTTTGTATGAAATAAAATAAAGAATTGGATCCAAAAAAATGTCTGATATGGCCTGGCTCATTCTAAAATGCAAATGTTATGGTCTTGACTAAGTTTTATGGTTTTGAAGCAGTTTTGAAAACCTATTTATATTCTGTGCCACTAGTCTGGAAGGTCTTTGTTTTCCTGCGTGTCTGGAAAAGGGCATTTTTGTTTGTTACAATCCAGCACTGATTGAGATTCTGTGCCTCTAGAGAAGAGAAAACCCACAAAAACACTTCTATTTATACCTTAGCTTTTGTTAGTCCCGATTTGTCAGAAGCTGGTTCACAACTTTAGTATAACTATTTTTATACGATGCTGCCCTGAGAAGCTTTTTAAGGAAAGTGCTTTGTAAGTGGAAACTATATTGTTCAACAGTCTTTCCAGCAAGTAAAGCATTTTTCAATAATCATGCGTGGAATAATAGGATGCATTTCACTTATACAATACGATGACTTGTTCACCAAAAAAATTCGGAGGTCAAGAGGCCAAAAGCTGCAGTTCAGAGTGTTGCAGCAGTTGCACTGCCTTGTTCCAGGGCAACCTCTTGCTCAGC